CTGAAGCCAGTCTTTAAATCCACAAGTGTAAACGACATTGCCAGGAGACTGCAGTGGACAGAGAGCACCAGACTAAACAAGGATGGGGCCACAAAGGAAACTCCCTGACAAGGAGTAGGAGCAACCATAGCAGTGGCATCCTGGGAGCCACAGGAGAGATGGGCAGAACCTACAGGGACAGGAGCAGGGTCAGAAGCTGGGGGACCTGAGGGCGGGCGTGGGGAAAACAGTGGGTGGCCAGAGATGTGCAGGTGGGGAGGAGGGGCAGCAAGTGTGGGCTGGAACGTGCAGTAAGAACAGGGTCACAGCCAGAGAGGCAGCAGCTGTGACAGGGTGAATAATGGGCCGAGGACCTCAACACAGCAGGGAGGGACTCACTTCTTATCAAGGAGGAAGTGAGGGAGGAGGCTCAGGCAGGTGGCCCACGAGAGACAGGAGAGGAGAAGAAGGGGTGGCAGCCAGGCATGTAGAGGGGGAAGCTGGAAGAACAGTACGGGAGAGAGCTGCCGAGAGGGAGCCAGGGCACAGCTGAGGCTGGGACCTTCGAGTACTCAGGGCGTGGCTAAGTTCTCGCAGGTCAGGATCTCCCTGGATGAGTCCAACCTAAGTTGGGAGGGATGCGGATATGGGGAGGTGGAGAAGAGAAGGAGTACTGGCTAAGCTGAGGAGGAGGGAGGTGAGAGGAGGAATCCAGGGAGCTGGCAGGTGAGTGTGGATGAGGAAGAGAGAGGACAGGCGGCCGCAGCTGGCTGTGGAAAATGGGTTGTAAGGGAAGAAATAAAATGCCCAGGCGTCTGTGTTTAAGGGACCCCACCCCACCGCCAGGCCCTGTGTGGAGAAAGCGCTGTGAGGGCCACAGGAACAGGAGTGGCCAGAGGACAGATGGGCCCTGCAGGAAGACAGGATAGTGACCTGCACCAAGCCAGTAACTAGGAGGTGGAGCAAAGTTGGAGGGACTCAGGGACAGGGAGGAATTGGGGTGCATGAAAGGCCGGGTGTAGTAGAAAGAGAAGAACCCATAAATGGATCAGGCATCCACTGTACACCAAATATTTAGGAGCAGGATCAGTAGAAAACCGATCTTTATCTCCAGTGATTCTGGCACTTAGAAGTGGGTGGAAGGGTGGGTAATTGTGCTGGTCAAGAGGGGATGGTACCAGGAAGGTTTCCAGGAGGGGGCGTCCCTGGAGCTGGCACTACCAGGCATGGAAGAAGGGCACCCAGAACCACTATGTGCAGGAGGATAAAGGACAGACTGGGGAACCTGTCATGGTTAGGGACAGCCCAAGATCACTGTACCCACATGGCTGTGGAGCACAAAGACAAACATAAGCCTACAGAGAGACACTGGTGCCATGGAGAAAAACAGGTGGTGTCAGGACCTAGCTAGAGTGATGAGAGCTGCAGGACAGGCATCCCATGAGGGCCTCCTTTTCAAGGACAGCACTAAGAATAGTTATCCTAGCCCGACTCTACTGCAAGAAGGACAGCAGACAACGCGAGGCTGGGTGAGGGAGCCCAAGGGGCCAAGAAGGAGGCTGCCCAGGTAGAGAGACAGGCTTTGGCCCTGAGCCCCGCACATGCCCACTGAGACTTTCCTATTGTCTTTTATCTAATTTATGTTGCTATAACAAAATAACTGAAGACAGGTACTTTATAAAGAAAAGAGGCTTATTTGGCTCATGCTTCTGGCAGCTGAAAAGCCTGGCACCAGCATCAGATGAGAGCCCCTGGCTGTGTCACATATGGAAGAGAAGCAGGAAGAGAGTTGGCTATGTGCAAAGGGATCCAGTGTATGTGGCAGCCTTGCTTTAGAACAACCAACTCTCATGAGAACTGTTCCAGTCCCAGGAGACCCAGCCCAGTCCCACCAGACAGCATTAACCCATTCATGAGGGTGGAGCCCCCTGCCTACTTACCTTCCATTAGACCCCCATCTTAACGTTTCCACTACCTCAGCATCCCCACATTGGGGACATGCCTGTAGCACTCGGACCTTTGGGGGACAAACTATCCAAACCATGGTGTCTGTATAGGAGCAGCCACAGTTACATGCTGGCAGCTGGGTACAGGGAGGCTAGGCAGGAGAGGCAGCTGGGTGACCCAGTAGCCAGAACTCCAAGGGTCTGCAGCAGGCAGAAGCTGGTAATGGCTGAGAAGGCATTTGTCCACTGACGCCCTACAGCAAGGTGGATTACGGGACAGTGCCCATTCTCAGGAGGCTTGCAGCAGTTCCCCGTCCCACACTCATGGCACAGAATGGGGAGGGGAAGGTCCAAGACTCTTCTGTGCCCAGAGATCCTTGCAGGAGGCTGTGGGTCCCTCAAGGATGTTCAGAGACAGAAATGAGGGGAGCAGGGAAGGGAGCAGGCGGGGCTGGAGCCCTCTGAGCAGAGGCAGTGTAAGCCTCAGACCTGTCACCTGTGAGGAGAAGAGGAGAAGGCTTTGGGGAGCTGCTGTCCACAGAGTCTGGAGCCCAAGGCATGGATGTCAGCATTTCCTAGGCAACATGACTGCAGTGGGCAGAGAGCCAATAAGACAGATGCCTTCAGCACCCCCATGCACCCCACCTTCAGTGCACATGGGCCCACTTCTGCCTGAGCACCTGCCTGCGTCGCTGTCCCAGGGACTCTCTCTGTCCACCTTCAGCCACCCACATAGCAAGCAGTATGAGTGGAAAAGAATCATGACCCAGAAGCAGCAGAACAAAAACTAATGGGCATGGGTGTGCAAATAAATGCCCCGGCTCCCTCCCCCCTGGCGGTAGCTCTAACCTTCATGTTCTTCACAAGCACAGACAGTGCCCCTAGTGGGAGTAAGCCCCAGCTGGGGCTATGGATAACTAAGTCAGTAACACACCTGGTGTTGGCTTCCATGTGTCCTCCTAGCTTTTAACCACCCCAAGTGTTTCACTTATGTTCCAAATGAATGAGTTGCATTTGAATCCTTGTTCCAGAGTCTCTTTCTTAAAGAGCCCAAAGTAAGACAAAACTTACTTTGTAAGAGGTAGTTACTGGTAAGTAAGACCCCCCCAAAGAAAGGACACAGTGGGGAAATCTTAGAGCTAGAAGGCAGCATTCGAAGTTCAGCTCCTTTGTATGTAAGGAATGAATGCTCAGTTCACAGAACACCTTGCACAGATCAACTGAGCATAAATTAGAATATTAATGTTCACAATAAGACCTACACTGTACTATAAAATGCCCTGTTGCCTACCAATCTAAATAAAAATGGTGCTGGTACCAATGCCCTTTGGCCAGCTTCAGACTTGCCACTGGAAAGCAGTCACTGATTTGTCATTCCGGGCTAAATATAAAAGGATTGTAGCCTGAGTCACAAAGTTATTTTCAGCACTCAGTCTGACTCTGCAGCCATTCAGGGGTGCTGTTCTTAAGGACCACCTTCTGGGAGGCTGAGGTCCACTCTGGTGGCCCACCCTCTCCCGGGGAAAGTCGTCTCCCAGACACATCCTGACTAATGCTCCAGCTACCCCACACCATGTCTCAGTTGCTGTTTCTGAACACTTTTTAGAGGTAGAAACTATCCTTTCCAAGGGCTGTATTTCTCCCTTTCTTTCACAGAAAAAGGGGAAAGGGATCAATCGACACCAGTATGTCATTGCTGCCATTATTATATTGTTGTTGTAATGCTGGGGATCGAACCCAGGGCCTTGTTGTGCATTGTAGGCCTGCATTCCACCACTGAGCTACGCCAGCAGCCCCTGTGATTACTTTTAAGATAGACTGTACCTTTGCAGTTGGTCCTCCTTCCTAGAAACATGGCTTCCTTCCAGCCCATGGTGGGGATATCAGGGGAGAGGTTTGTAGGGGGCGGAATCCTCATGGCACAGCTCTGATTCCATGCCTGGTACTCTGCCACCACAAAGCCATCCCAAAGCCTCCCCTGACCACAGTGGGGCAACCTGACAGTCCTGCACTCCAGCAGAGCATGAGTGTTATGTTTACTGAGCCTTAATTCTAGGCCCTGTCTCTTACCTCCTTAAAAATATTCATGGCTCCCAACAACCCACAATAAGAGCTGAAGTTTCCAGTATTTAAAGCCCTTCACCATCTTTCCCCAGTACAACTTTCTGAGTCAACTCTGCCGGATATCCCCTTGGCATCCTCTTGCCCACCTGTCCCTCCCTCCCTTCCTCCGCCCCTTCCCATCCCACTGACTCTTGTCTATCCTCTGAGAGGCCTGGAAGCTGTCACTGAGCCTGGGGCCCCTTCCCATACGTACCTACTGAGCACAACTCCCGGCACCTGCATTTCAGTGATACCTTATTCACACTGCTGGTTAAGGACCAAGGGCCAGGTGTAAGTCTCCTGACATCTAATAGCCCAGCACAATGCCTAGATTGGGGTATGTGCTGGTCAACATTTAACTGTAGGGTTCTTATTTCTTCTGTGCTAGGGACCAGGTAGGCATCTGGTGAAGCCTATGGCTTCCTTCTAAGTTATGCTTTCAAAAGCATAAAACAAAATACCAAAGATTGCAAGTGAAACTGATTTTATTAAAAAAGTTGTCAAAATATTTTCACATGCAATTTGTAACTTGGTGGGAAACGTGCTTCCATGTCAAAGCATTAAACCAGATCTAGTGGTAAGTTCTACGGGCTGTCATTTCCAAGTAGTGGAGCACATGGAGGACATTTCAGAACATCTGTAACAATTGAATGGGACAGGAAAATATCTGCAGGAACTGCCAATATTGCACCAGCTCTGACCTACAAAAACACCATGGTTTTGCCTAATTACTCTGGTTTGCTGTCTCCCCTGGTTCAATAGCAGGGAGAAGTGAGTAGATATGAGGTTGCCTAGTTTTCCCCAGTCCAAGTTCATGGAGCTCCTGAATTACATGAGAGAGCCCTTAGGGGGATCCCTTGAGAGCACCTGGTGGATGGGTTGGGCTGGGTTCCTGGGGGTAGGATGCTCACCCCTCTGTATTCAGGGCTCCCCGCGGGAGCAGCTAACCCGGTGGGTCTTTGTTCACGACAGGCTCCCTGTTCCCGCAGCTGAAGCCGTCCGAGGGCGTGTTCAAGGTCATCTTCTGGCTCGGCTACTTCAACAGCTGCGTGAACCCGCTCATCTACCCGTGCTCCAGCCGCGAGTTCAAGCGCGCCTTCCTCCGCCTCCTGCGCTGCCAGTGTCGCCGCCGCCGCCGCCGCCGCCCCCTCTGGCGCGTCTATGGCCACCACTGGCGGGCCTCGACCAGCGGCCTGCACCCCGACTGCGCCCCCAGCCCGGGCGCCGCGCCCCCTGGGGCCCCGCTGGCTCTCACCGCGCCCCTGGCCCCGGGCACGCCAGAGGTGCGGGCCGCGATCCCTGGCCGGCGAAAGCTGCCCAGCACTTTCCGCGAGTGGCGGCTGCTCGGGCCCTTCCGGAGACCCACGACGCAGCTGCGCGCCAAGGTCTCCAGCCTGTCCCACAAGATCCGTGCCGGGGGCGCGCAGCGCGCGGAGGCTGCGTGCGCCCTGCGAGCCGAAGTGGAGGCGGTGTCCCTCGGAGTTCCTCAGGATGTGGCGGAGGGCGCCACCTGCCAGGGCTATGACGAAGCTGACTATACCAATCTCCGGGAGACTGATATTTAAGGACGTCCGAGCTAGGCTGAGGAGTGTGCACTGGGCCGGGTTGGGGGGCGTTGTGGGGAGCGAGGATGGCTTTGTTCACGAGGCCTGTGCGGATCAGGGACTCGGAAACCGATCAGGTGGTGGCTGGACTTTGGGGTTGAAGGCCGGGCAATCTTGGGGGCCTCTGGTGGACACAGGTGTCCAGATCTCTTTTTCTAGGAGGAAAGGGCTACAAGATCGGTGAAGTCTCTCGCCCAATCCCTGTTTGAGAAACTGCTGGTCAGCCTGGCCTTGAGCCCAATAGACAGCCAGCCCTAAAATGGCCAGGCAGCCTGCCCCTGCCCCTGCCCCTCGGGAGGAAGAACACGGAGGCCTCCTCGCTGCCCGCAGGGAAATGGTCAGTGGAGCCAGGGGGCCTCGGTGGTCACATTTCTCCTTACTGCCGACCAGAGGAACCCAGTGCACCTGTCACCAACCACCTGCAAGTTTTGATGGCGTATTAGACGGCTGACTACAAACCTGTTGTACTTACCCTGGGCCCACCGCCCCTACCCATACCGCCACGCTCCTCCCTGCGCACCCCTCACCTGGCCCTGCCCCTTTACTTCCCTCAAGGGCCTTACTGTTTACACTCTGTACATAGCTCATTGTGCCTGTGCCCATCACTTCTTGCTGGGATTCCGAGCTGGGAGAGCTTTATGTGTGATTTTGAAACATATTTATTGGTAAGAGTACTTATATTTTGTCCAAACTGTGCAAACTGTTCCTCTTTAGCTTATACTCCATAAAAAAAGAAAAAACCTTCTTTTTTTCTAAAAACTTTAGGCCAACAGGATAGGCTGGGTCTACATTCACCTTTGTAGTTTCAATTTAACTGTCTCTAACTGATGGCTATTGTCCCTCAGGACTTCTAGCATAACCAAAGGACTTAGGAGTCTTGTTGGCTTTTAAAATTTGCATGATTCATCTTGGGAAACAAATAGTAATTATAAGCACAAGTTTTCTCTTTGTCAGTCTTCCCACTTGCATCTGTGATGCTCGGAGGGCCTCAGTGAGGAAGGTGGCCATCGGTTAAATGGGTAAATGCTATTTTACGTGAAAAAATATACAAGCCCAAGTCGATGAGTATACCTGTATAGGGGTGTTGTGAGAAACCATACCTGGGAACCAGGTTTGTTAGCTTTGAGTAAAGTCTCACATTCCCGGGGACTGCAGACAAGTCAGTTTTCAGCTAGAGGACCCAACCAATGGATGATTGTGACTAGTGAGCCCTGGGGAGAAGAGCTGGATAAACAATACCCCAGGGTGTCTGGGTTGGTTCTGAAATTATTAGAGCCCACTGCTGGAGCCAATACAGACACATACTGTGAGCCAGACTTCAGGTCCTGTACCAGGGAGGTAGTCTAGGTAAAAAGTCAGCAATTTCAAGCTCTTCACAACAGTTTCAGGAGGTTAAAAGAGCAGGCAGCAGCAGGGCTTGGAAGCAGATATTTCACACGTTGGTCTATGACAAAGTCTGGGCTTGCCTACCTGGGGCCACCCAGGCCCCAGGCACAGGAGGGAAGTTTGTGGTGCTGGTACCATGCTGAGCACTCCAAAGAGGGCCCCACTCTGGGGCATATTGGCTGCCACAAAGCTAGGGGACAGCCTTGGCTGTCTTTTCACAGAGATTGAGACCACCCCTCAAGATGAGGGTCAGTGACAGAACAGACCCCCGTGGCAAGTGATTTGACACTGGCCTCCTAGGCAGGGATAACCCAACCTGTTTCAGTATCAGTCCTGGGTTTGAGAAGCGTTTCTAGGTCTCTCTGGGCAGAGTGAACATTGGCTTCCACATGCCACAATAGTTGAGTCCACAAGCAGAGGCTTCATTCAGAAGGTTTGGGGGGCCTCCCTGGCCAGGAGAGCCCAGTCAAGTGGAGGCAGGGGCTGACAGCTTGCTCACCACTTGCTTGAGGCATCATGACCATCTGCAAAACATTCCTAAAGTTCAAGCCTCAGCCCTGTCTCTGGACACAGGAACTCTGCACATAGCTGCCTTCCGCACCTTCCACACTGGGCACTGAGACTGCAGGAGGTGTGAGGGGAAAGGGAGCCCCAGAGAGGCCACAAGGCAGCAGGAACATCTGGGACCTTGTTCTGATAACCAATAATCTTGCACTGCTAATCTTGCTCTTAGAACTGGACAGGGCCACAGAGTGACCAGGAGGAGTGGGAGGAATAGCAGCAGCCCTTCTGGAGGAAGGAGCTGTTGGCAAGTGATTTCAGGAACTGGAAGACATGAATTCACTGCACCCTTTCCTGGGTCCCCAGCTGCCTTAGCTCCCCACTCTTATGGCTGATTAGAGGCTGTCCCTGAGTGCATGTAAAAAATGGGGCCATTGCCTTCAGGGAATAGGAGTCCCTTTACATGAACTTCAAGGGACAGGGGCCTCAAGGAGTCTGGGAGTAGAAAAGTGTGGTCCTGTGAGATGTGACTGGGACAGCAGCAAGCTTCCAAAGACACTGGCACCTGTCCAAGTCACCCTCCCCTATCCTTAGAAAGCCTCATTCCTGCCCCCACCCAGCACCCCAGGGGCAGTCTGCTGGGCTCTTGCCACCCACCTTGCCTTGCTTCCCACACTCTTCTACTTTTACAAGTCACCTGGGACCATCCATTTCCCTGGTCTCCGCCCCTGCGTCTCTGTTGCAGTCCACATTGGTGGCCTGTGGCCAAGCTAGTGGCTGCAGTCCAAGCTGGTGGCCACCCCTGGCCTCCTGAGGTGGCCACTCCCTGCCTCTGGGCCATGCCCCTGGGTTCTCTTCTAATCTGCTGACCACACTCTTTCTGCCTCCTCCAAAGGCTGCTGTCCCTGACCTTCAGTGTTCCCTAGGGTTTTATTCCCCCTTTTTCAACTCTCCACAGAGACCCATCCACTCGAACATAAATGACTCCCAAGAGACTGTAACTCTGTGTGTGAGCCCCAGGTTGACCTTCAGCACCCCAAATACAAGCCCTGGGGCAACTGGCCTCCTGCAAAACACCTGACCCTGTCCTGCACTCTCCACTGTCCACCTACCAGAGCCTTCTCATCCTCCAAGACCTCCTTTCCAGATCCCCTGCTCTAAGCTAAGCCATGAGCACCCTGCAGTGGGCCTGGTTACTTTCATCCAGCTCTTCCTGGGCCAGAGCCCATGAAGGTCCCCAGGGAGCCACTGTGCCATGTACTTCTGCAGGAACACCCACTCTGCATGCCCTCCTCGTCTACCCAGCCCTCTCATCTAGAGCCCCACTCCCCGCTACAGGTGAGAGCACTGCCCTACCACAAGTCAGTCCCTCCGTCCCTCCTGCTTTGGGCGATGACAGTTTCTGGGGAAAGGTTTGGAACCTCCGTCACCCTCCCCTCAGTGACCTGCTCTGACTTCTCAGAATCCTCTTGACCCTGATTCTATTCCAGTCCTGTTACACCCCCAGGGGCTACATGTTCAACATCCACTTGGAAAGTAATTTCTTTTTTTCTTTCTTTTTTTTTTCCTAATTTTTTGTGGCTCCAGGGAAGCACAAAACCAGATGCTTGTAAAGGCTAAACTGGTCCCCCCCAGTCTCTTTGCCTAGCTTAGGACAGCTCCCTGGAGCTGGGTGGACCAGGTGACCCGGAGGGGTTTGCAAAGGGGGAGTTGGCACTGTTCTCAGGTGGTCCAGACTTCACTTCCCCCACCCTGCCCCTAATGGGGAGTAGGCAAGCAAAAGAAATGCTGAACACCTCCTCTGCTTAGGGAGAGTACATTCTGAAACTGCTCTGATCTAAGGGAACTAAAGGAAGACTGCAAGATGCATTTGGAGTCAAGAAGAAACAGGAAACGGGACTGCCACAGGCTGAGCTTTCAAAGCCAGGAGCCAGAGGTAAGGATATATTGGAAGCATTTGCAGGCACCGCAACTGTGACATTTATGCATATTTCTTCAGGAGTCACCATTCACCAGACTCCACCATATTGTTTGTGCCCACCTCTTTCTGTCCTGCCAGAAACCAGAGAAGGAATCTCAGTTCCTTTTCCTAGGAGAGGAAATCAGATTGGTCCCATTCCTCATTTGAAACAAGCCACAGAAGTCATGGGTGACAGGCCAGCCTAAGAATCGGCTAAATTTGAGGCAGATCTGTGGGACAAAGCACCCTTGGGAGGCCAAGTGTGAGAAACAAGTTTCTCAGAAAGGAGGGAAGCAGGGCAGATAATGATTGACATTTTTAGCACACTGGATCACATGAGAACATAGTAAGCAATAAGGAACTTGATCAATAACTGCCTCAATCCCAGGGCATTCATTTTCTCACTTGACAATTTACAAAGTAAATCTATTGCTGGAATTAACAAGCTCTTTCTATCTGCTTCATCATCTTTGTTGTAAGGGCTTCTGTTCTCTGTTGCCCTATGAT